AAAATCCTAAAGCCCAAAGTGGAAGGTGAGTCATACATTATTTCCTGATTGAAGCCCAGAGACATTCTAGTGCTGGATGAGACAATGGGGGACAAGGCCAGCCTTACCCTAGTCTGGGGCAAAAGCTGTAGGGTTAACTTGGAAGTTTTGGGAAGACCTTCACAAGAGAGCTGTACTTATCTATCCAGTATCCTTTGCTCATTCCTCCTTGTTAATGAGAATCCAAATTTGTTTAGGGCAGCAGTGTGCCCAGCTAAAAGACAGCAAGGTGCCCAGCAATCCTTGAGACTAAATTCTAGCTAATGAATTACAAGCAGGAATTTTGGGTGAACCCAAAACATAAACATTCCTCAAGAAGGTTGAAATTCCTCCATTTCTCCTTCTACTGTCCAGAACACAGATGGCTAGAGATCAGTAGGCATTTTGGGTTAAGAAAATGGCGGCTTTGCACATAGGGTATAAAAGTGAAATGACAGAAGTAGTTTAGATCTCCAGTGGTCCCAGAGATGCCAAATCAGCCCTGGATCATCTCCCTCAAGGATTATTTTTCACAAGAGGAAATTAACCTTTTTCATTTCTTATCCCTGTAACTAGCAGTGAGACAGATTTCCTAAATGAGCTAGTCTCCCACACATACCACCCACTCTAAATACACATAGGCACACATACAGCTGAGGTGCCACGCATGCTTATCCACTGACTTATATTCATCTTTTAAAATTTGAATATTCCTGAAGGAAGTAATTAATGAAGTCTCAGTTTTGTTTTTCTAGAGTCTTCTATTATTTCTTTTCTTTTTGGGAGAGGGGGGCATATGTGTTAATTTAATTCATTCACATAATGTGTAAGGATCAATTCAGTGTAATTGAGCTATCTATAACCTTAAGTATGTATCTTTAATTTATGCTAGAAATATTTCTATTATTCTTTTCTGACTATTTTCAAATATAAAGTAAATTATTGTAGTCACCCTACTGATCTACCAAATACTGGGTCTTATTTTTTCTATCAGATAAAATACATCTCTGACCAGTTGGAACAGATACCTGAGATGGACAATTGAGATAATAAATGTGAAAAAGAGGAGCTGTTGGCAAAGGAAGCATAACTGTGAATTTTCTTTTAGAAGTTTTCATATTATGACTCACCAATATGGAAAGCATGCATATTTTAATTCACAAAAATTGGAAGAAAGTCAAAAGAATTAAAACAGTTGCTTGGATAGAATGTGGAGATATAGTTGAATGCTTGTTTTTTTGTTTGTTTGTTTGTTTTTTCTTTTTTGAGATGGAGTTTTGCTCTGTCGCCCAGGCTGGAGTGTAGTGGTGTTTTCTCGACTCACTGCAACCTCCGTCTCCCAGGTTCAAGCAATTCTCATGCCTTTACCTCCCCAGTAGCTGGAATTACAGGCACCCACCATCAAGCCTGGATAGTTTTTGTGTTTTTAGTAGAGACCGGGTCTCACTATGTTGGCCAGACTGGTCTCAAACTTGTGACCTCAAGTGATCCAAGTGTATAATTTTAATTTATAATACTTAAAAATAACATAAATAAATTATATTTCAAATAAAGAAAACAGTCTCAATATATCTTATTGTAATTAACTTTAAAATACATTAAAATAGGGTTCTCCTTCTAGGTAAGATGAGAAAACATAACCCAGATGTAATCATTCACCTTGAACAACTAAAACACTGGACAAAATATGCAAATAGTGGTTTTTAAAACACTGGACACCAGGTAAAATAAAAAACAACACCAACAGTGACCTCTGAGAAGTGGAAAACCAGCAAGACAATCCATAGGATTACCCCAGTTTTTAGCCTAGGAGAGTCTACAGACCATGGCATAGGGGCAGGAATGAGGGTGGAGTCCAGTGGATTCCTGAGTTTAAGGGATGGAACCAAGAGTCTGGGAAGAATGAGGTGCTTGTAATTCACAAGGCAGAGTAATGGGAAAAGCAGAGGTACACAGAGGGCCAGAAGCATGTAGAAGATCTCCCTCACATCTTCAGTTAGATATGAAGTAATGTATGCATGTGAAGAATCTGAGGCTGGGAAGAAACAAAACAGAGTTATAACCATCAAGCCAAAATAGAAGGGAAAATTAAAATTATAAAAATGCTGATTTTTTTTACAGTTCTGACACGTAAAGACTTTGGAAGTCATCACTTATCCCTACAACAAGAAGAGGCTGAACAGACAGAATACAGACTTTTCCAGAGCCTATTACAAAACTTAGGTTGCAAAGCAAACTGCCATTTTGCAATGTGGATAGACAGTTGAATTTTAAGATTCAGAGCTCAGATCTGCCTGACTGAAGACATAGACACTAGAGCCATGAGCTGGCTTACCCTGCCAGAAATGTAAAAGAAGTTTTTCGGGGGAAATAAAGTGATATATGGCTCATATGTATATATAAACCAAAGGAAAAGCATCAGAGAAGGAACAAGTGAAAGTCAAATAAAACTTTAATCTTCCTTGTTCTTAATTGATCTAAAAGATACCTATTTGTTTAAAGTAGTAATAGTAACAATGTATTGAGTTACAAACATAGATAGTAAAATTACAGCAATTCTTGGCCTGTGGTAAAGCATAACCCTTCAGAAGGGTCGGCCAGCCTTCCCAGTGGTGGGTTGATTACGTCAGACTATTTCCATTACGGAGGATAGAGTTTCTTGTTTGTAATAGAAGAGACACTGGGTATGTTTGTCTTCCATTCTTGCGATGCATCTGCTAAGACTACCACCCACAGACTAACAGAATGCCTTCTCCATCATCATGGTATTCTACAAGTGACCACTTCTGACCACAGAACATATTCCCCAGTAAATGATGCATGCCACTGGTTTCATGTTTATGTTATTTACTGGTATCTCCATGTTTCCCAACATCCTGAGTAGCTGCCTTGGTGGAATGGTAGAATGGACCTTTTCAAAACTCAATTAGGTGTCAGCTGGGTGTCAACACCTTGTGGGGTGGAGGAAATAAACTCCAAAGTGTAACATATGCTCAAAATCAGTATTTAATTTATGGTGCTATTTCTCTTTATATTAGTACATTTCACGCTAATGATAAAGACATACCGAAGACTGGGCAATTTACAAAAGAAAGAGATTTAATTAGACTTAAAGTTTCACGTGGCTGGGGAAGTCTCACAGTCATGGCAGAAAGCAAGGAGAAGAAAGTCAAATCTTACATGAATGGTGGCAGGCAGAGAGTGAGAGTTTGTGCAGGAAAGCTCCCATTTTTAAAACCATGAGACTTAGTTACTATCATGAGGACAGCACAGGAAAGACCCACCCCCATGATTCAATCATCTCCCACCAGATCCCTCCCACAACACGTGGGAATCATGGGAACTACAAGATGAGATTTGGGTGGGGATGCACAGTCAAACCATATCACTCCTATAGTCAAGATTAATTGTTCCAGGAATCAAGGGGTGGAATGAGAGGGACTCCTTTCTCTATTACCCCCTCTAATCCACTGGGAAAACTTTTGCTTCCTGTTTCTTTGACTTTAGATTCTGCTGGTCTAGCAGTCTTAAGTCCAAAGGAAGGGATGGTCTCACCTGGGGATTAAAAAAATAAATTATTCCATTGAACTGGAAGTTGAGACAGCCAGCTGGGCAGTTTGAGCTCCTCGTGCTTCTGATTCAACAAGTAAAGATGCAGGTTTTGGTACTGGCTAGGTTGGTTAATCCTGGCTCCAAAGGGAAAAGTGAGTTGCTATTACATAATGCAGGTAAGGAGTATGTCTGAAATGTGGATCATCCAGGGTGTCCTTTAGTGTTCTCATGTGCTGTGATTATAAAGTTGGCCAAACGAGGTGGCTCACACCTGTAATTCCAGCACTTTGAGAGGCCAAGGCAGGCAGATAACCTGAGGTCAGGAGTTCAAGTCCAGCCTGACCAACATGGCAAAACTTCGTCTCTACTAAAAATGCAAAAGATAAGCTGGGCACTATGGTGGGCACCTGTAATCCCAGCTACTCAGGAGGCTGAGGCAGGGAGAATTGCTTGAACCCAGGAGATGGGGGTTGCAGTCAGCCAAGATTGTGCCACTGCACTCCAGCCTGAGCAACAGAGCGAGACTCAATCTCAAAAACAAAAACAAAAAAATTAAAAATAAATAAAGTCAATGGAAAATTAAAACAATCCAATTTGAGCAGGACTGCTAATGGCACAGGCCCTTCCAAAATGAGGTTTAGGTAACCCCATCAGGCAAGGCAATCCTGGCAAGCTGAGGTACTTGAGGAGAAAATATAAAACAGGTTACAGAAAAAGGTATTTATAAATACCAGCTATGACCACATAAACAATTCCAAAAATAGTAACTGTGTAATGAATATGTCTTTATTTTGATATAAATATGCTTGCATGTATATAAATAAAATATTTTGTTTCTTTCTTCCCATACCTTTATCATCTAACAAAATATATTTTAATAATATTGATGCTGAGCAAAAGAGTCTCCATACAAAAGTGTGCATACTACATAGGAGCATTCATGGGAAATTTTTGAATAGGAAAAATTAATCTATGGCAGAAAAAAGGATCAGTACTTAGACTGCATCTTGAGCAGAGGAATTCACTAGGAAATAGCTCAAGAGATCTTTTTGTGGAGATGGAGATATTGTATATCTTGATAGCAGCACACTTTAAACAGGTGCAGGTGTATGTCTCAGTATTTTAGTTACAGAACATCAAAGTAGTATGGATCAGCTAGGAGAAGAGTAAACATCACCCCAAAGGGGAAAAAAGAAACACAAAACTTTGCAACCTTTTCTAGGGAAATGGTGAGCATGTTTTCAGTTGCAGGTGGGATATATGTTAAACAGAAGTATGACTTTATTGGTGCCCTTCATTGGAGAGCAAGTATGGTTAAAGGAGTAGCATATGGGTGTCAAGTTGACAAGGGATGGGCTGTGATGGCTTTAAAGTATGTTAATTTAGACTAGATTACATCTCTCAGAATTCACTTTCTTGTATGTTTCCAGTTATGACAGACCACAGGAAGATTCTTGAGAGAGCTGGAAGGGGGAGAAGACGGTGGTCAATTTGTAAAGCACATTCTTTGTTGATCTGCAGACTTACCTGTTGATGTGAAGCAGCAGCTTCATCTGCAATTGCTCTGCATTCCCCTGGATCCTCCTACAGCTTCTCCAACCCCTGGGCCAGATGTTTACGTGCATTTAGCTTTATGAAGAAAGGCTCTGGATTCTGTAGGACCTCAGCGTGAGACCACAGACACAGATAACCAAGACAAACACCACTTTGAGTTCATCCTCATGGGATTCCAGCTCATGCTTGTGAGTCCTGCATACTCATGATCCTCACTTTCTGACTAAATAGCCTATGAACTTCTAGCTTTGCCATCAGAGGAAGAGATAGCAGCTCTACATCTGCGGAACCAGCCCCCACAATTTTGTAAGCCACCTTTCTGTAACAAATCCCTTCATACATCTCCTACTGGTTCTGTTACTTTGGATGAATCTCAACCAATACAAAACTAGCACACAACCCAAAAAGCCATCATAAAACTAATGGATAAATGCATTGTTGTACCATTCGCACATGGACAACTGCTCATCAAATAGGAAATAGTACATTTTTGATGCACAAAACAACGTGTATGAATCTCACAGACATGCTGAGCAAAAGAGTCTCCATACAAAAGTGTGCATACTACATAGTAGCATTCATGGGAAATTTTTGAACGGTAAAAATTAATCTATGGCAGAAAGAAGGATCAGTACTTAGACTGCATCTGGAGCAGAGGAATTCACTAGGACATAGCTCAAGAAATCTTTTTGTGGAGATGGAGATGTTGTATGTATTGATAACAGCACAGTTTAAACAGGTGCATGCATTTGTCAAAACTCATCACATTGCATGCTTAGAATTCCTTCATTTCATTATATATAAATTTTACTTAAATATACTGTAAAAGAAATATTGTACTCTATTTGCTAGACTTGATTTTTATAGTGGTGTATGGCAACAGTGCTGAAACTAATCATAAGTGAACATCAGACGTACTGAATTTAAGAAATATGCAACAAAATAACTGGCCTGCACTATTGAAAAATAACAAGGTTAAGAAAGTCAAAGAAAGGCCAAGGCATTTCTAGATTGAATGATGTTAGCAGCACTTAATCCAATTCAAATTGCGTCCTAGATTAGGGAAAAATATATATATATAAATGCTATCACTAAGACACTTGGAAAATTTGAATGAGTTCAAATTTGAATGAGTTGAATCATATAATATTTTATCAAAACAAAATTTTCTGATTTTGATCATTGCGGTTATGTTAGACAACATACAATGAAGTATTTAGAGGTAATGGGGCATTATGTCTCAAAATTGCTTTAAAATGGTTCCAAAATAATACATATAAATATATATATATGTACATATGAGAGGGAGAAAGAAAAAGTAAATGGGGCAAAATAAACAATTTCTGATCTTGAGTAAACTGTATACAGAAGTTCTTTGTACTAATCTTGAAATTTTTCTGTAAATGTGAAATTATAGCAAAATAAAAAGTTAAAACAATAAAATTATAAGATTCATTTTTTTAATGGAGGAAAAGGGAGTTTGGAGAGCATTTCAAACTCATAGAAACAAAGTTTTTTTTCTGTGGGAAATCACTTGATAATGTTTTTAGTAGCTATAAATGTATAACTATAAAATCTATTACTGTGCATTTGCAGTTTTTTAATTAAATCTAGATTTCACTGGATGCAGTAGTTGTTATGGCTTTTTTTTTCTTAATCATTGCATAATTATTAGATCTAGTCACATCTTTTACTTCACACATACACTTTTGTGGTCTAGCCAGACAGTTTTCACAAAAAGCAGCTGCTATGCACATACCAAGTTTTACTTACTCTGTTAGCTAAACGTCCATTTTGTTTCATAGTCATGGTATAGCCAATTGTTTAAGAGCTGGCTACAGTCACGTTCTTTCATTAGCAGGGCTGGCCTTTTTTTCAAATTTTTTTTCATTCAGGTTGTGAAATACCTGCACTTGCAGACTACACTGGCTCTGGTGAATTACAAAGAAAACTCATTGATAATTTTAGATGAGAACAGTGCTGAACAGAAGATGCATAGAGGTGAGTGCCTGAGGCAGGAGACTTTAACAAGACTGATGAGGAGAGGATGCACTGAGGAGATCTGTGAAATAAGGACCTTAGCATGAGACTGGAGAGTGGCAACTTGGAGAGTAGCCTTCCAGGTAGAAAACAACAGCCACTGCAAGACCCTTGCTTAGCTTTGGTGAAGTTGATTTTGAGAAAGTCCACATAGCTAGAGCAGAGTGAGAAGAGAGTCAGTGGACTGAGATGAGCCTGAGAGATGATGGAATGACCACAGACCATGTGGGACCAAGGAGAGCAGCAGAGGCACATACATTTCATTCTAGGTGGAATGGGGAGTGCCTGGTAAATTTTAGGAAGAGATTTTGGTGATTCTGACATACTTAACCACATTCTTTAATTTTCCATGGCCTGTCTGCACAACTGCTGTGTGTTTCAGAGAAAATGCTTGTACAACTTTGTGTGGGTTTCCAAGATGTCCAGGCGTGAAGTCAAAGTTTCTTGATTCTGCTTCCATTTTTCGAATACCTACTAACAATACTAGCTCCACTCATCACATCTCCTAGCCCTTTCCTTAGCTTAGATAATCCAAGGGAGATCCAGTTCCTTCCAACTATAACAGTCTAGTAGACATAGGTAGGAAATACCAGGAATAGGGCTGAAGTAACACCACCACAACCTTCACCACAACTACCACCACCATCACCATCATATTCCTTAACACCACCATCGCCGTGAAAAATAACAGCCCACAATCACCACTACCAACAACAACAATAACAACCACCACCACTGCAACACAACCACCACCACCAATAACAACTGCTCATCTTCATCCCAGCTGATCACAACGATGTCTTAGCTCCAGGCTGCAGTGTAAGCACCTTCACCTGAACACCAGAGTAGGAAGAATGCTTCACCTGTCTATAAACTCTCCTGGCCATGAGGAGAACATTTTCAGTGCTTTTGCTATTGGATGTGCCATTCCTTATAAGAAACGGCAATATTTTTGCTAAAAGTATAAATATACTTCAGTGGGTTGTACATTTAGTTATTAGTATTAAAATTGGACATGCCAGCTTACAGTGGATATTGAACTGAATTTCATTCTGTCTTTTTGCTTTCTCCATTCCCACAAGTGATTCTCCTCTGAATGTGAACAGGATGAGCCCATTTAATTTTATGAACTTTATGTGATTGAAGTTATTTTGTTCCATTGTATTTCAATTATTTCAGTCTATTGAAATAAAAATGTGGCCACATTTCTAAAGACCAAATCTAGATTGTTGCATACAACGGGTATTTTTGTTTTATAAGATAAAGACAAATGCACACATATGTGTGCTGCAGAACTATTTACAAGAACAAAGACTTGGAACCAACCCAAATGCCCATCAGTGATAGACTGGATAAATAAAACGTGGCACGTATACACACTGGAATACTATGCAGCCATAAAAAAGAATGGGTTCATGTTCTTTGCAGCGACATGGATGAAACTGGAAGCCATCATTCTCAGCAAACTATCATGGGAATAGAAAACCAAACACCACATTTTCTCACTCATAAGTGGGAGTTGAACATTGAGAACACATGGACACAGGGAGGGGAACATCACACACTGGGGCCTGAGAGGGTGTTGGGGCAAGGGGATGGAGAGCATTAGGACAAATACCTAATGCATGTAGGGCTTAAAAACTAGATGACCTGTTGATATGCAACAAACCTGCACATTCTGGATATGTAACCCAGAACTTAAAGTAAAATAAAATAAAACAAAAAATTTTTTTCAAGTATATAAAAAGAAGGCGGTATAATTAGTAGTGCTATATTCTGGAAGAAAAATGCACATAATGTAAGAACAGAATCCTAGATAAAACTAATTTATTAACACAAATTAATTTCATATAGAGTTTTCCAGAGGACCTGTCTTATAAGCCTTGTGTATTCTAATGACAACTGCTTGAAAACATTGGTTTCTCTCATATGATGAACTATGATACTATTTTTTGGGAGGTGTCATATTAAATACACAAAGACAAAATTAATTCATTAACTTGAAAATAATTTATTTAAATAAAACTAATCTTTATTTAAAGTACTTAAAATATAAGAATGAACAAGAGTCCCTATTCTTAAGGACCTATGACTCTAGACTCCAGTTCTTTTCTGTGTATTTTAGAGGAAGACATAACTTACGATATGGTTTGGATTTGTGTCCCCACTCAAATCTCATGCAAAACTGTAATCCCCAGTGTTAGATGACAGGTGTGGTGGGAGATGATTGGATCATGGGAATGGATTTCCCTCTTGCTGTTCTCATGACAGTGAGTTCTCATGAGATCTGGTTGTTTAAAACTGTGTGGCACTTCCCCCTTCGCTCTCTTCCTGCTGCTCTGGCCATGTGAGACATGCCTTTTTCCTCTTCATCTTTTGCCATGATTGTAAGTTTCCTGAGGCCTCCACAGTCATGCTTCCTGTACAGCCTGCAGAATTATGAGTCAATTAAACCTCTTTTCTTAATAAATTACCAGATCTCAGGTAGTTCTTTATAACAATGTGAGAGCTGATTAATGCAGCCTATAAAAAATTACTAGTCTGGAGCCAGTTTACCACTGAGATAGATGTGAAAAATAAAGGATAAAACAAGAAAGTTGATGTCTTATGCTTATTTATAAATATAATCAGATATTATAAATGTTTTCTTTTTAACTTAATAATTTTCAAGACACTTTTCATGTTACCTCATTTGATTCCCATATTTAAGAAAATTGATATCACTTTCATATTCTGGAAAGAAAATTGTTCAGAGGCCCAAGGTTACATGACAAGTGTGAAGCCAATTGGCAGCAAAAATAAATGACAATATGCAGAACAGGCCTTCAATAAAATTCAATATCCCTTCATGTTAAAAATTATCAATAAACTAGGTATTGACAGAACATATCTCAAAATAATAAGAGCTATTTATGACAAACCCACAGCCAATACCATACTGAATGAGCAAAAGCTGGAAGCTTTCCCTTTGAAAACTGGCACAAGAAAAGGATGGCCTCTCTCATCACTCCTATTGAACTAGTATTGGAAGTTCTGGCCAGGGCAATCTGGCCAGAGAAAGAAATAAAGGGTTATTCGAATAGGAAGAGAGGAAGTCAAATTGTCTCTGTTTGCAGATGACATGATTCTATATTTAGAAAACCCCATCATCTCAGGTCAAAAGCTTCTTAACCTGATAAGCAACTTCAGCAAAGTCTCAGGATACAAAATCAGTGTGAAAAACTCACAAGCATTCCTATATGCCAACAAAAGACAAGCAGAGAGCCAAATCATGAATGAACTCCCATTCACAATTGCTACAAAGAGAACAAAATGCAAAGCAATACAACTTACAAGGGACAAGAAAGACCTCTTCAAGGAGAACTGCAAACCACTGCTCAAGGAAATAAGGAAGTACACAAATAAATGTAAAAGCATTCCACTCTCATGGATAGGAAGAATTAATATCATGAAAATGGCCAACCTGCCCAAAGCAATTTATATATTCAATACTATTCCCATCAAACTACCATTGACATTCTTCACAGAATTAGAAAAAACTACTTTAAATTTCATATGGAACCAAAAAAGAGCCCATATAGCCAAGACAATCCTAAGCAAAAAGAACAAAGCTGGAGGCATCATGCTACCTGACTTCAAATTATACTACAGGGCTATAGTAACCAAAACAGCATGGTACTGGTACCAAAACGGATCTATAGACCAATGCAATATAACAGAGACCTCAGAAATAGCACCACACATCTACAACCATCTGATCTTCAGCAAATCTGACAGAAACAAGGAATGGGGAAAGGATTCCTTATTTAATAAATGATGCTGGGAAAACTGGCTAGCCAAATGAAGAAAACTGAAACTGGACTCCTTCCTTACACCTTACACAAAAATTAACTCAAGATGGATTAAAGACTTAAATGTAAGACATAAAACCATAAAAACCCTAGAAGAAAACCTAACCAATATCATTCAGGACATAGGCATGGGCAAAGGCTTCATGATTAAAATGCCAAAAGCAATTATAACAAAAGCCAAAATTGACAAATGGGATCTAGTTAAACTAAAGAGCTTCTGTGCAGCAAAAGAAACTATCATCAGAGTGAACAGTCAACCTACAGAATAGGAGAAAGATTTTGCAATCTAACCATCTGACAAAGGTCTAGTATCTGGAATCTACAAGGAACTTAAACTAATTTACAAGAAATATCTAACAACCCCATCAAAAAGTGGGCAAAGTATATGAACAGACACTTGTCAAAAGAAGACCGTCACATGGCCAACAAACATGTTTAAAAAAGCTCAACATCATTGATCATTAGAGAAATGAAAATCAAAACCACAATGAGATACTATCTCACCACCGTCAGAATGGCAACTATTAAAAAGTCAAGAAACGAGAGATGCTGGCAAGGCTATGGAGAAATAGGAATGCCTTTACACTGTTAGTGGTTATGCAAATTAGTTCAACCATTATGGAAGACAGTGTAGTAATTCCTCAAGGACCTAGAACCAGAAATACCATTTGACCCAGCAATCACATTACTGGGCATATACCCTAGGGAATATTAATCATTCTACTCTAAAGACACTTGCACACATATGTTTATTGCAGAACTATTGACAATAGCAAAGACGTGGAACCAACCCAAATGCCCATCAATGATAGACT